AGGTCATGCCGCCAGGCCCTAATGTTGCATAATTTTCATCACAGACATCTTCCACATCTTTGGTTAGATTAATTCCAAAGTGTTTAAGATTTCTCTCTGCTGTTTTAAGGGAGACTATAGTTAACAATTTCATGCCCAGCCATTGAGTTATTTGTGTGTGTTAGTGCAATTGGTTTATGTTCATTAATTTTGTATCCTGCTACCCTGTCAAAGTCTCTTAGGAGTTCCCATAGTCACTTGATTGAGTCTTTTGACTCACCAAAGTAGAGAATTATGTGATCTGCAAACAGGGATAATTTCAATTCCTCATTTATGATTTGAATTCATATAATTTGTCTTTCTTGCCTAATAGCTCAGGGAAGGACTTCCAATATTGTGTTGAATAGCAGTGGTAAGAGAGGACATCCTTGTCTAGTTCCAGATCTTATCGGAAAATCATCCAGTCTTTCCTGTTTAGATTGATGATGTCATTTTTTAAATGTATTGCATTGATTTTGATATAGAATGTTCTTCTATGCTTATCTTAGTTGCAGTTTTTAAACATGGAGTGATGTTGGATTTTATAAAATGCTTTCTCTGCATCTACTGAGATGACTATATGGTTTTTATTTTCCAATTGGTTGATATGGTGTGTCACTTTTATTGATTTCTCAAAGCTATGCCATCTCTACAAGCCGGGAATAAATGTTCCCTATTTGAGTGAATGAGCTGCTTGATGTACTGTTGGATGCTGTTGGCTAGTATTTTGCTGATGATCTTTGCATCTATGTTCATCACGGCTATCGGTCTGGAGTTTTCTTTCTGTTGTGACTCAATCTGGCTTTGGTATTAAGGTGATATATTTTTCATAGAAAGACTTTGGAAGGATTTCCTCCCTTTCTATTATTTGGAATAGTTTTTGGAGGATTGGGGTAAGTCCTTTTTAAAACATTTAGTAGACTTCTGAAGCCATATGGCCCATGGGCTTTCTGGGTAGGGAGTGATTTAATTGTGGATTCAATCTCAGTCTGTGTTATAGGCCTATTTAGATGATCAATTGCCTCATGATTCACTTTTGTTATGTTTCCAAAAATCTGCCCATTTCTTCTAGGTCTTCTGATTCGTTGTCATATATTTGCTTATAATTTGTTGTCATATATTTGCTTATAATAGTTGCTAATAATTCTGTGTCTGAGGTATCTGATGTTACATTCTCTTTTTGTCTCTGAACCTATTGATTTGTATCTCCCCCTTCCCCGCTCCTTTTTTTGATCAGTTGTGCTAGTGGGAAGTCTATTTTGTTGATTTCCTCGAAGAACCAGCTCTTTGAGTCATTGATCTTATGCATTATCATTTTGGTCTTTATTTGGTCTATTTTCTTCCTTTTTCGGTTATTTGGTTTTTTCTTGCTAATCTTGGGATTGCTTTGCTGTTGTTTTTCTTGCGCCTTCAACTGTAATGTTAGCTCATTTACTCGGTATTTTTCTAACTTCTTAACATAGGCATTGAGATAAAATTTCCTTTGAACACTGCTTCGACAATGCCCCATAAGTTTTGATACGTTGTTTTGATGGCTTCATTTGTTTCAAGCAATTGTTTCATTTTCTCTTTGATTTAGTCTATAACCTATTGTTCATTTAGTAGAAATATGAGTCTGGGCTGCCTCAGCTGCTCCTTCTGGAGCCTCCATTTACTGAGAAGGATTGTGTGATGTAGCCACACCTCAAGGCTCCTGAAGCTTTGTTGAAGTGACCATGGGGCTTCTGTGCAGCACCCCCTCTTTTCTTCTCCTTGAATTTGCAGCACTGGCATGAATATTTCTCTACTGATTTAAAGAAAAAAAATTATTTTTAAGCTCGAGTACTCCATCTCCTATAGATTTTGGATTCATAGAGAAAAGCACAAACATTAGAAATCTTGTAAAGAAATAGGATTTCATACAGTTTATTTGATCCCAATTTTCATGTTGCAGAGTACCTAGGTTATTTGCCCAAAGACACATAGTGAGTAAGTGTGGAGATCTGAAATTTGAACCCAGCTGAATATATCATTAAATATCTTCCTTTCACATGGCCAAGATCTTTCCATATTTGAGGTTATAGTCTACAGGAAAGGCACAAGACAGAAGTAGTGTGATGTGAAATCTCTGGTTCTTGCTGCCCCACTTCTACTCCATGTTGACCCAAATCTTAAATCCAGTCCCTTCTGTAATTTTTTTTATGTCATTCAACTCTCTCAGATCATCTATGAATTTCAGGTGATTTTTCAGATTTGTGGACAGAGGCACATCTCTCATCCCCATCCCTTATCACATCTTGTCTGTCCCTTCTCATTCCTCAGACTCAGAGCTGTCCTCTCATATTTTCTATAATTCTGCCTTTGCTAAAATGTAAAAGCAACCAATTTAGACCCTCTTCCACCCTTCATTACTGTGTTAGCTGAGCCTTCGCATTCCAGAATTGGGAATAGATGATGAAGACACTTCATTAAAGAGATTCTGTTTCTAAGCAGAATTTTGGGCTCCCTCACCTTACAAACAGCTTCGCTTGTCTTCTGTTACAGGTGACACTAATGAGCTCAAGGTGACATTTTTGAGGATCTTAGTCACACACTCACAGTTGTGAAAGATATCATCAGTATTTGCATTTGTTTGATAATACTGACTGTAATAAACTATTTTATAGTTTTGATAAAAAGGACACAAGTGTGCCTTCACCAGAGTTCAGGAGGTCAGAGATATCTTTAGGGCAACACCAAGCAGGTAATAGTGCTATGCACCTTCTGGCAGCAACGGAGGGAGGATGATCCAAGTGCCTGTTCTTCTGTCTTCAGGATGCCCCACATGTCCTGTTCTATGGTCTCTTCCTCCGTCAATCTTAAGAATCATCACCGTCATAACTCTGCTCTGACGCTAGTTGTCTTCCTTATAATGAAGAGAAATGTATTTCATGTTATATAAAATGCTACAATGTCATATCATATCATATCATATCATATCATATCATATCATATCATATCATATCATACTTTAAGTATATCAGTTGTCCTAAGGATTATTGAATGATAACCATATATTTAAAACTGGGAAAGCCTCAGGGTTGAAGATTTGAGAGTGAGGGAGTTGGGGTTCTTGGCACAGAGGGTTCCCTAGGGCTGCTCATACCAGGTCCTGTGGTTTGCATGTGTGCAGGCTGAGCTGCCTCCCCAGCTGAGAGAGCAAAGTGTAGCCCAGGCAGGAGTGGAAGGAGTCAGCAGAGAACAGTGAAGGGGAAGGATGGTGTAGTATTGCTATACTGCCCCAAAAATGATGTGTGTATACCATCTGAAAGGGAAGTTTTCATCTCTCCAGTCATGGAAGGCTCTGTGCTACTAGGTTCTCTTACAGTTCAGATCCCAGGTGGAAGGCTGGAGTTTGTAATGTGGCTGTGCTCATGCTTAGTGTTACCCGACCAATTCCACCCTGTTCCCGGCTCGTTGGTACTAAGATAGTCACCTCCTTGTCATATCTAGTGATGCAGACTGAGTGACTGGAGCAAAGATTGAAATGTGCTATACAGGTGTGAAAATGAAGAACCAAGATATTGCTCATGTTATTGGCACTAGCTTGGCACAATGGAGACTACTGGGCAGGGAGAAGGTGAGTGTTCCCAACCTCCCTTCACTCTAGTAAAGATAGGAAGAGAAATGAGGCACTTTCAGTGCATGAGCTAGTCCTGCACCAAGCAGCAGGTACCCTCATATAAGTTATTTGTGTTTATAAATTAGTCTTGGGCCCGGCGGCATGGCCTGTTGGCTAAAGTCCTCGCCTTGTATGCGCCAGGATCCCATATGAGTACCAGTTATGATTCCGGCAGTTCCACTTCCCATCCAGCTCCCTGCTTGTGGCTTGGCAAAGCAGTCGAGGATGGCCCAACGCTTGGGACCCTGCAACAAACTGGGAGACCTGGAGGAGGTTCCTGGCTGCTGGCTCCAGATTGGCACAGCATCGGCCGTTGCGCTCACTTGGGGAGCGAATCATTGGACGGAAGATCTTCCTCTCTGTCTTTCCTCCTCTCTGTATATCTGACTTTCCAATAAAAATAAATAAATCTTAAATAAATTGGTCTTTTTCCTGGGCTAGCTCCTCACCTGCTCTGTAACTTCCAGGTTCCAGAGATGGTCTACTTGAGCCCCAGTGGTGGTACTGTAGCTCAGCTAAACTAACCAGGAGACTCCCCTGAAGAATCTTTTGTCTTGTACAGAAATTTCTTGGAGTCAACTCATCTAATGGTGTAGTTGTGCAACCTAACCCAGATACTTAGAGAAGAATACAGAAACTGAGGACAGGTGCAGTCATGGCATCTCACAGTAGTAGTCAGAGCTTTTTGCTGGAAAAGTTCATGAAAAGACAGCCAATGGCAGAAAATTGTATTGCAGAGGTCCTCATGTCAAGACAGTATCTGGGCACAAGAGCCCTCTCCTATATTATTGTGTATCCATCTGCAGCAAATTATTTCTAAGTATTTTAAGAGTTTGTCAACAGCCCCTCAAAAGCCTATGTCACATAATGTGTGTCAGAGGATCATGTCTTTTGTAGGTAAATTAGTGCATCTCAGGGGGTGATCTGGGTACCTGGAGACACATTCCCTGTACTCAAGTATGAGATGAGCTGGGCTCTTGTGCTTGGAACAGCAATGCCACTTCCCCTGCTATTTTACAAGTGCCCAGGACACAGCCCACTGCCCTACACACTTATGAGCAGGCTGCTCATGCCCTGTGCAGGAGTCAGTGCCAATCAGGACACAGCATGGACATGAGGGCCACTGCTCAGCTCCTGGGGCTCCTGCTGCTCTGGCTCCCAGGTGAGGAAGGACAGCAGCACAGAAATTGAATTCTTGACTTGTGGTCAGTGCTGACTGAAACTTCCTGTCTCTGCTGTATGAACATGATGATGAGAGTGGATGTTTGTGTTTGTGTTTCCCTTCTCAGGTGCCACACGTGCCTTTGAGGTGACCCAGACTCCAACCACGGTGTCTGCAAAGGTGGGAGGCACAGTCACCATCAATTGCAAGACGAGTGAGAGTGTTTACAGCAATCTATCCTGGTATCAGCAGAAACCAGGGCAACCTCCAAAGCTCCTGATCTATGATGCATCCAATTTAGCCCCTGGGGTCGATTCGAGGTTCAAGGGCAGTGGATCTGGGACATCATACACTCTCACCATCAACCCTGTGAAGGCTGAGGATGCTGGAATCTACTACTGTTTTGGAGCTTATAGTTGGAGTAGTAGTACTAATACAGTGATACAACCTGAAAAAAAATACAAGCACAGGAAAGCTTAAATGTGAGTCTGGGTTCCTCCAGCTTCCTGCTATGTAGCCTCTATCTGCAAAGAGTTTTTTCAGATGCAATCAATTTCCGTAGTCCCTGCAAAATACGTGGAAAGGCCCCTGGGGATCCTTTGTAGCCTCCTGTTTTCTCCTACTTGGTGCCTGCAGCACTGATGTACCCATGTTTCTACCAAACTAAAGGAAAGAAGTGCTATGTCTGAGCACTCAACATTACAACTTTCTTTGGAGTCATACAGTAAAAGATTAAGCATTTTGAATATTTCAAGCAGAAATATTAAACACAGTTTGTTAAAATCCAAGTTATAGATTTGAACATTGTCAAAATATGTGGATAAGAGGCAGTGTTTGTAGAAATATGGGATTCTGTGTTCTTTCAGAATCCAATGCCCCTCTGCCACAGAGGGAACAATCAACTAAACCTGTGGTTCTCAGCCCTGCAGCTGATGCTCTCAGCTGCCTGCAGCCTCCCAGGGGGCTCCCCTGTCCTCAGTGTTGCCTATGGGTTAGCCAGCATGTGCAGGTGAATGATTCAGAATTTGTCTTCTGACATTCAAATCTCATGGCACATGGGTAGTTTTGCCCAAGACACAGAGTGAGTCTTGTGAGTTCTTGTGGGAATCTGGAAGGGCTTGAAAGCGCAGTGCTGAGATTGAAATTTTCTGATGTACCCAGAGGGAGAGAGTCTTTATAACCTGGATTCCTTGTGTAAAAGACCCAGGAGAGGCTGCTCCACTCAGCCTTCTCTGGATGCTAGTTCATGCTCCACAGTGAAGTAGGAGATGGGGTCTGTTCTACAGACAAGGGAGAGACAGGGCAGGGCAGGGAGGAAGCAGCTGGGACAGCAGGAGCTCACTCCCCTGTGGCCCTGGGGAGGAAGTTGGTGTTGGAGGCTGAATCTTATATTGGAGGCTGCTTTCATATTGCCCACCATACTAATGTCCCACGTTCTCAGCCTGGAGGCTGCTGCTGCTGAGATGAAATCTGTCCCGGAGCTGCTTCCCCTGAATCTCTCAGGGACCCCAGTTGCTCAGATGGATGTCAGTAAATGAAGAGGTTAGGAGCCTGTCTTGGTTTCTGCTGCTAGCAGGCTAGTTCGTTCTTCTGGAGTTAACTGGATAAGAGACTCTGGCTGGACTTGCAGTTGATGATGACCTTCTCTCCTGCAGACACCATCTGGCAGTTTGGCGACTGAGTCATGCTGATGTCTCCACGAGCACCAGCCTTAAGGAATGGGCAGTGACCACACAATGCATCACTAATACCTTAGAATGCAAATCCAGGAAATGTAAGTTTTCTTACTCTTTAGAATATATCAGACTGCTCACATGAGTGGTTGAAGGTTGCATGATGCATTTTACATCATTAGAATGTTGTTTACTGCTTGAAAATGCTTACCAAGGACCTGGATCTCCTGGATCCCCTGGAAGATGAGGAGTTTTGCTGCAGCCCCTTCTTTCTACTTAGTCTCCTTTGGGATGCACTCATGCCCCGCCCCCAGGAAAGCCCATTGTCAGAGCTCTGAGCAGGCAGCCTTGGGCCTGTACAGCCTCTGCAAAGTACAAGGAGAATGAGAATCCCAGGGCCCCTGTGAGGAGTCACAGAGACCAACAATGGAAGGAGGAGGCAGAGATGTCATCACTGAAGGAAACATGATATTATGCCTTGCAAAGGAGCAGGGCCCAATTGAAAGGTGCAGTTTAGAGGTAAATCCAGCAAGGTCTCCTGACTCAAACTGCATAACAACAGCACTATCTCAAATCAGTTTGTAAGCCTAAATAACCTGTCACAAAATAGATGTGATTATGAGCATGTACTTTTACAAATTTTAAACTTACTGGAGTTTTCATTAAGTTCATAGCAAAATAAATATAGTGGCTAATCTTGTTTTGCTACTAAAAGAAGTTGGAAATCATGCTTAATTAGTTACAATGTGAATTTCCTGTGTTTTTTTTTAAAGACTCATGTTCATATGGTATCAGTTCACAGAGTGTATGAATATTACTGGTTAGCAAAGACAGTGCCTGAATGTTGGTATCTTTCAGAGTCTTTTGATCTGTTTTGTATATTTGAAGATCCTCTTGGTCCATTGAAGCTGCTGCACTAAATCCATACCACTTCTATTATTTTCCTTAGCTCAAAGCTGCTTTCAAAGTAATACATCACTGTACACTTGTGAATCACTCTGATACTATTCCTTTTGTCAATCACTTTATTATTATTCTTTAAATACTTTTCACGGTACCATAACGGTGGCATATCAGGCTAGTCCTAGCTGGCTTTGTATCCCAGCTGCTCCACTTTTGCTCAGCTGCTTGTTCTTGAACTGGCAATGCAGTGGACGATGGACAGGATCTTGGGCTAGTGCTCCCACACAGGAGAGCCAGAAAAAGCTCCTGGCCTCCAACTTCGGTTCAGCCCATCTCTGGTTTTTGTGATCATTTGGAAATGAATTTGAAGATGAAACATCTTTTGGCTCTCCTTCTCTCTAATTCTGATTCTGAAGTATAATAAATAAATATTTACAAACTTTTATTTTGCTTTAACATATATCTATACAAAGGGAACTCACTGCACGTATTCCAAATAGTTTTAAGAGTATTGTGATTCTTCCCTCTCTATCCACCCTCGCTCCCACCATCTCTCCTTCTTCTTCTGTTATTTTCCTTTTTAATCTTTATAATGACATACTTTGGATTTACTTCATATTCCCAAAGTTATCCATTCTCTAAATAAAATTTTCATGTAGAAAATGGAAAATCCACTGTTCCTTAGGAGGCTAGACCCGGGCTGTTGAGACTCAAGTCCTCCCTAATTCCCCATTCACTACCAGATCTAAGGGGTAATGGCTCCCCCTGGAGTTCATAGAGGAAATCATGTCAGCTTTCCCTCTAGAATACAGAGCAGGTCTGTATTCTAAATGAAACAGAGTACTCTCACACATTTGTACCAATAACAGTATCAATGGCTGCAAACAAATAGCATTATTACAGACTCTGTTGTATGTAGAATGTCTTGAAAAATCAAATGGAACCCTTTATCTCATGCATCTTTCATTTTTGCTGCCAGCACAGATAATAAAGACAACGCATGTGCTGCCTCTGTTCCCATTCTGCTCTGTGTGAGGGACCTCCTCTGCAGCAATGCCATTGCAGGGGCCAGTGGGCAGTGTGTGTCCTCATCCACCTAGTGCATCCTCCTGTGGCAGGATGGACAGGGGAGGGGCAGTGGAAGAAGGAATGGATCAGGGCTGTTCCACTCCTATGCTTCCTGAAAATTGAACCGAGAGGCAGGCTCATTAATGGTGCAACATACAAGTTGTCCTCTCACTGATAGAAGAGCGTTTAAAATGTCTCTAGTTGCTACACATGAAACCAGTTGACCTGCAGGTCAGTAACAGGAATCAGTGCTCTAACCCCAGATACCTGAAAAATGGAGCCCAGTTTTTGCAGGATGTGTTACTGTGTTTCATATTTATTTCAAGTGAAAATTTTCTATCTGGATATTCCTCACCATTTTTCAAAATTTTTATTTATTCACACTAAAGACTGAGCCTTATAGGGAAGAAAATACACATATTGAGAGAGAGTGAGAGACCGAGAGAGAGAGAGAGAAAGAGAGAGAGAGAGAGAGAAACAGAGAGAGAGACTGAGATCAGAAGTTTATTTCCCAGATTAGTATGACATCTGGACCTGGCCAGGACAAACCATTCTGGACCTATCCCACGCACCAAGTATGTGGCAGGAACCCAAGGACCTGGGTACCTGTCTGCTGCTTTCTGGACATATTATTGAAGATCTGTTCTGACCACTGCATCTGAGAGTGTCTTTACTGACTAAGAGAGCAAAAATAAAAAATGCTTTGTAGATATTCCAAGCAGTAATACAGTTTCATACATTTTATTAGAATAAACTACAAACTTCAGTCTTCAAGACCTCTGTGGGTTAGAGATGGTGATAGTGGAAATTTGGGACTCTATGCTCTCTAAGAATCCAGTAATACCCCTCAGACAAAAAAGTTAACAGTCACCTGAATGCTGTGGTCGTCAGCCCTGGAGCAGAATCTCTCAGATGCTTGCCATACTCACGGGAGGTTCTCCGGTCTTCACATTGTGTTTCTGTCTACAGGTGCACATGCCTAGCCCAGAATTCTCTTCTCCCGACTTTCACATCTCAGTGCACTTGTCTTATGCTCCATGGTGTTGGTGTATGAATAGCTAGGATATTAACACTACAAGCTTATATTTAATTGTTTTATTCCCACATGGCTGTGCCATTCCATGTTTGAGGCTGTAGAATACAACAAAGGCACAAGACCAATCCAGAATGAAATGAAACTCATGGTTTCTGCTGTCTTATTTAACTCCATGTTGACTTGTATCTTAAAGTTGTTCTCCGCAATTTTGCCTGTCCCAAACTGTCACAAACCCTAATGACTTTATTTCATATTGCTGGACAGGGGCATGTCACATATCCCTGATCCTGTTATCTCCTCTGTCCCTTCCTTTCCCTTGGACTCAGTCCTGAACTCTCATGTTTTCTGTACTTTTATTTTATCTTCCTAATGTGGAAACAGATATGCAAGCAAATCAAAAGCTCCTTCTACATTTACAGAGTTTGATACCTGAGTACAGGGCTCTCAGATTCCTGGACTACATGAGGTCACAAAGATGTTTCACTCAAGAGATTCTCCTTCTAAGAGGAATTCTGTTCCCTCTCATCACATTCAACTATCTCCTCTTGTTGTCTATCTCCTCTTAGAACCCACATCAAATGAGAACAATGTGTCATGTGATGATCTCACATGTCAGTCAACCACTCAAGGAAGTAATAGA